TCAAAATTCAGTTTGGTAAACCCTTGAGGTGGAGGTGTCCAACAAGAACTTGAGGTCTTCTTATCTCAGACCAGTTGAAACAAGCTGGGAAAACTTGACTTGGGGCTTGATCAGCACACACCGTTTGAYCTTGCAGAGAAGAATCCTCCTGCCTTCACTGGTACCAAAAGCTCGTACCACAGGAGCTCGAAGAAGAATAGATTACCAACTATAGTGCCCAGTCCTGCACTTAGCTTCTATGAGCTGCCTCAAAGTTATTTTCAATCAAATTAAGAGATCTTTCTCCTCTTATCATCCCCTCAATAATATTGTTTCTTTGAAGAAGGGGTAATTAAAGTAGAGCTCTGTAGCTCATCTAATCCTTCTTTTTTCTTTTGGGTTGCAAAAATGCAAAAGGACCTTTTTTTATTGTTGGCATCCCAAAACGAGTATTAGAGGTAATGGTTTATTCAAGTATAACAGAGTTCGCCTTTGTATCAACTGCCCGTCTTAGCCTCTGGGGTTTTGGTTAGGCTACACAAATCCTACTTCACAATTCCACTTGGCATTTTTTATTTTAATTGCTGGCTTACAACCTGATACAACGTTCCTCAGTTACCTGGCCTTGCAACTAGAGAGAGAGGATCACAATATCCTTAGCTTATAAAACCTGTAAAAAGAATGAAACATAAGATAGCTTGATGATATTAAACATTATTGCTGGAAAAAGATATCAAGAGTTTTTTGAGGGTTTAAAGTCACAAGAAGGCCAAATTTATTTTTTAGTACTTCTGTAATTGATAACTGAAAAGATATAAGATTTCATTAAGAAAAGAGGGAAGTTATATATAAATTGTCTGGCTCCGGCATATCTAGGGGCAGAATTAAACAAAGACAACTAATTGAAACAATTTAATATTAAATTATGATTCACAAAATAAACTTGCATTAACTGTAACCTGCAAGTTAATGCAGGGATAGAATCACTCATCCACACCATACACATTGTAATTTTTAATATAAATATCATGTCTACTTTGTTAGAGAAAAAGGGGTTCAGCAGTAAGAGAGGAGGATGAGGAAAAAAGAACATGTATAAACTATGAAAACCTAGCAGAGTAATTCATGGGATAGATAAGAGGTTTTGGGTTTTGCCCCTCTTTCACCTTAAAATGCCATCCAGACAGCAGCAAGTCAATAGCATCTGATTTTGTCTGCTTTGATCTCAGCAAGATACCATTCATATTGTCAAAGGTCAGTGACTCTAAACCTGAATTCTTTTTTTTTTAGACTATTAAAGGAATATTAACAAGTGGTCATTGTTGGTGCAATGATTATAACTTGGGTTGACAAATGTGAGAATGTCAGGTTTGAGATGAATGTGGCCACTTCATTCAACCAAATTCCAACGGTTAGGTCCATATCCAGTCCATCCTCCCAAGATCCCAGATAGCTGGAAAAACACTGAATGGGCTGGAAGCATGCTAACTTGCATAAGGGACCAAGTGTTTAATAGATAGTAGGCCACCATATAGCTTATGGGTCAAAGCCCATGTGAGTGGGCCTAAATTAAGCCATCCTTTTTTAAGGACATTAACGAATTAAAGGTCAAACGAAAGCAACAGGAAATCAACTCACATTGACATTATGCTTTAGCTAAAACATGATTCATTTTACATGCTTACAACTACATCCCATTTAATCTAAACGCTCATGAAACAAACAATTAAGTAACTACTCATTCACAACTAGCAAAATTCTTTTTGCTAGGTAACCAACAGTAATGTAAGAATCAAGGCAAACTAATGCCAATTAGAGATTTTTTTTTTTTTTTTGAGACAGGTAAAGTATAATATCATTAAAAACAAAAAGTTGTAACATTTGATGAGTAGCAGTTCAAAAGATAATGATCATGAAAATAGCATTCATTTTTATTTTACTTAAATACCTATGGTCTTACTAATTTTTTAAATAGGCAACCCTGTTTTTGCCTTTGATGTTGGAGTGAAGTTTTAGAATGCTACCCAAATAGCAACCAGGTTGAATAGAATCAGATTTTGTCTAGAATCTGGATTCTAGAATACCATCCAAACGGGCTCCTACTCTTGAAAATCTGGGTCTAGGAGCATGTTAATCTGCTAAAGGGAATGAATATGCTTTAACAGATAATAAGGTGCTATGCACTACAGAGCTTAGGGATCAAAACCCACCATAAGTATAGACTTATCCATCTTTTAGGATATTAATCCAGGTCAAAAAGAACTAACAAGAAATCAACCCATTTCTGAAACCTAAGAGTTCACATTTTAGCTAAGTCATGGTTTGTTTTTCATGCTTATTTATTAGCACATGTACATTTATAAATCCACCAATCAAAAACGTCTTTTTTTTGAAGATAAAATAAAAATGGGATTTTATTAAAAGAAAAAAAGGAAGGTATTAAGTAGGCACCAGAGGAAAAACGGACTAATAACTGCCTAACAACAGAGAGAACTCAAACACTACGGACAATTTTCAAAACAAACATCACCCCCTCCCCAAACCTTTCCATGAATACAATAAAGATCCCCCACAAATCAAAATTCCAGATCTAAAGATCCCCCAACACAAGAAAGAAACTTAAACCCCAAAACCATCCTTCAAGATTCTTCTCACCAGAAGAAACACAAAAAACTCTAAACCAGCCAGAAACTTCAACAACCTCCAATACCCATCTCAACCTGGAATTTGTTTACTTGTCTATTTTAAATCTACTGATCAAAAACAAGTACATTTAAATCCCAATGTTCATGACAAAACCGATTACTAGCTCACAGGACTCTGGCGTGCTGTCTATGTTCTTGAATGTTTGCTTGCAATTCTTCTAAGATGATGGAGTTTTCTTTAACTAGGAAAGCAGCAGAAGTGCGAGAGTTAAGGTAAAATACCAATAAGAGAAACCTGTGCAGAGTAGTTACTAGTTATCGATTAGCACATTTTGGCAGGAAGTTGCTGGAAAAATTAATGAATTGATCCTGATGCCAGTAAATTTTTTAACCTTACTTTATTAGTAACATTCACATACATCATGGCACCAAAAAACAAAAGAAAGCCACATTCCTATGGATGTTTAGGAATAACATGCCTTCCAGTTAACTGTAAGTCCCCCTATGACATGCTAGTGATGCTAACCCTGGAGAATACAGCAGCCTGATCAAGCCCATGTAGTGAATCTATCAAGTGAATTCGCAGTGAAGCAGGACCTCTAGCCATGTCCATCCCCATCTCAGCAGCAAGACCAAATATGGAAAGTGCTGAAGCTGTGGCTTCTAAAGCATGCAAAGGGTCAACTGCAACAAAGGCAGCAATGAGGGCTGTGACCGCACACCCTGCAGCTGTGATCTTTTGCAACATGGCCACACCATTTTTCACACCCACCACCCGTTGCCCATCTGTAATTATGTCAACAGCTCCAGAAACAGCGATTACAGAACCACTTCCTTGAGCCAAGGATTTTGCTGCTTCCACTGCATCCACCGATCTGTGGGAACTATCAACCCCCTAGAGAAAGTGTCAAGAGGAGATTAAGCAAATTGTAGCATATGTAGGATACAGTAACTATGCACCAAATTTAATCAGGAGTGCCATTCAAGCTAAAGATTACTACTCCAAGCAGAGGTTGTCAGGTTGAGAAAAGCCAGTCATGTATTCAGCATTTATCTGACATCTAAAACTCAAGACAATTGGTTCAGAAAGATGATCATCAAATAATAAAGACAAGTAAACTGGACACATGGACAAGTATAAATGGAACAAGTTTATCGGCATACTCCTACCCACTTAAAAGGTTATCAATATGTCCTGAATATTAAAATTCAGAAACTTGAATTGAAGCAAGAATTCCAAACTTTTGTCTGCCTTATGCACGGAAAACAGAAAAGACATGAAGTTTACTCAGCAAGACATGGATGTATCACAGGATGATACCCGAACCCTTCAATATACACAAACTACTTGTGTAGGTCCTGTAGGAAGTGCCACAACAAGGTAACAGCATGCAATATGTGTCTGATTTGCCAATGGATAATTAGAGAAGAATGAGTTGTATTGAGGATCATCTTCCCCAAACAGCCTTGCAACATTTCAGCTTATGCACTATTTCTGTAGCTTGCTTTTAGTTTGGCTTTGTAAGGCTTTTTTTTTTGGTTGTCTTTCCTCCTGGAAGACTTTATTCATTTTTTCTTGTTCTTTCTTTTTTCTTTTTCTTTTACAGATGAAAGATAGATAGAGGTTTCATTAGGATACAATACAAGAATGCATGAGTACAAGATAAGCCAGACACAATATTATCAACAGTTCCTCAGACCAACTGAAAACCATCAGATACAACAATGCCAAGCAGGAGGAAAAACAATGAAACTCAGCACCATGGAATACCAACACAGCTACTACTCAAGATGCTTTCCTCCCCACCACCCATAAAATTGTCCTTGAGATATTTTGCAAACTTTGAATCCACTTGAATGAGATCTCTCTAGATGCCAGAGATCTGGATTCCACTATGAAATGACAGAGGAACCAGGTAGCACCAAATGCTCTGCACATCCATCAATAACTATCCAAGAATATTCTTTTACATTTTTCCACTTGGGATCTGCTACCCACAAGTTGTTCCCACATTCCTACCCACAGACCACCACTACTATGTATTGAGAACATCTCCCCATGAATGATAAGGGAGATATTCCCAACACGCAGCTGTAAAGTCTCGTGGGTAGAGATGTGGTAACAGCTCGTGGATAGCATATCTGAGCCATACTTTTCCAGTAAAAAGAGGTTGGAAATTAATTGTTTGTTTAAGTCCAACGTACAAAATGTCCACAGGATTGTAACAATTGGCAGACTGAGCTTAGAGAGTACCTATATCCCATGTCCACAGGTTTGATATCTGCATTGCATAGGTTCTATCATCTATGATAACCAAAGAAAATGCAGATGCTCCATTTTCAAGAATTCCTCATCCTCATAAAACCAAGATTATATCTGTTTCTTGACAATTACACTTTGTTGGAATTTCTTTTCATTAGAGCAAGAAAAAACCTACAACTGAGTATATACCATAATAGACAGTTTTTTTTTTTTGTTCTTTTTTGCAATAAGTTGATAATTTATCCATTTTCTATGACTCTAACAAGAGCATTTACTGGAGGGGAAAAAACTGATGAGCTTTACCGAAATTCCAAAGGAACCTAAACTAATTCTTGAATTGCCAACCACTACTTTCACTTGTTTTAAGCACCAACTCATGTTTTTCTATGAAGTGTACGTTGGGTGGTGCCAATTTAAATGGTCGGAGCAGTAGCATACAACTGGTCAGCTTTAACTTGATTTTAAGAAGTGGGAATAAGTTGATAGTTTAATCCTTGGTGATTTCATTTTTTGGGTTTTGGGTATGTTCCGGCTTGTGTTTTGCACATCTCCTCATGCAAATCCTCTGTTTTTAATGAAAAGTTATCCTTTTCTCAAAAAAAAAGTTGATAATTCATCCGTTTTCTGTGACTGTAACAAGAGCTTTTTCTGAACCAGAAAAAAGGAAAAAGAACTGATGAGCTTAACCAAAATTCCAGACGAACCTAAATTAATTCTTGAATTGCCAAAAGATCCCAAAACCCATGAAGGGTTCAATATCTACAACTACTTTCACTTGGTTTAAGCATCAACTCATCAACCACCCAGCAAAAATAAATCAATAAACAATTAACAGAATAATTTTAAGGGAAAAACGAAAGACGTAATTTAAGAAAGAGCAGCAAGAGAGATGTAATAAGTATCAATGTATTACATAATCCCTCATTTAAATTGTTTCAAGCGTAATACCTTACTGGGCCCCAAAGAAGCATTTGAAAGCGCGAGAATCTCAGAGGCATTTCCTCTAAGAACAACAGGCTTGAGCTGAACGAGGTCGAGGCACGCCCTCAATCGGAACTCGGAAGCCGAAGCGGCAACCGGGTCGAGAACCCATGGTTTACCCAACCGAGTCGCCAACTCAGCGGCGGTCTTCATGGACGGTATCCAGTCGGGCGAGAGAGTACCGACGTTGATGCAGAGCGCTTGGGCGTGAGGGGTGAAGTCTGGGATCTCTTGCAGGCAGTGGAGCATGGCCGGTGATGCACCGGCGGCCAACAACGTGTTGGCCATCAGATCCATCGATACGTAGTTGGTGATGCACTGGATCAGCGGCGACCGTTCTCTCACAGCCGTTAATATTCTCCATGCCGTTGCGCCCCACTCTCGTGCTTCCCCCTCGCTTGCTCTCTCTCCCATGCTGCTCTAATTCTTACTCTGTCTATCTCAGAAGTCAGCACTCTCCCGTTCTTCTTCCTTCATAAATAATGCAAACAGAGAAAAACCAGCTACTCCCATTGTCGTAGCTTTGTGCTAAAACCGTGAATCACGACCCCTGAGGCCCCACACTGAGTTGATGAAGTGACGTTAAGGTGGGGCCAATCGATGGCAGTGATCTCACAGTTTTAGCCAAAGCTACACCGATGGGTATAGCTGATTTTTTTTGGGAGTCAACAGGGCGGTGGTGAGGTGGGGGTGTTCAGAGGATAAAGGGAACCGAATCAGGTGGGGGTGATCTCAACTACCATTAGCTCCATCCTCTTCGCCCAAATTTCTGTTGCAACCACCTGAGTGGGAGAGAGCAACAGCAGCCTCAAATGTAGAGGAACAACCTCGAAGAAGAAAAATGCTAAGCGCAACATTACCCACCACCGCCACCGGCACCACCACCAGCAAAGAGGCCCGAAATCTCTACTGCCTCTTAGCCACCTCTCTGCTTTCTCTACTCTTTATCCTCTCCTTTTCTTCGTCTACCAACCCCGCTTCTTCTTCTTCTTCATCTGGGTCTTCTCCATTCGCCTTATCCTCGCATCATCTTCAACAACAACAGCCCAATTCGCTCACCCCAACACCCCCTTCAATTGCCTACTTCATCACGGGCTCCAATGGCGACTCCGAGCGCATACTTCGGCTCCTCTTCGCCATTTATCACCCAAGAAACCAATACCTGCTCCACCTCGATCTCACCGCTAATCAGTCCCAACGTCACCAGCTCGCTCTCTCTGTACAATCCGTCCCCATCTTCCGTGCCGTTCAGAATGTCAACGTCGTTGGCAAAGCCGATTTTGCTTACTCCCGTGGGTCCTCCGCCATTTCCTCTACTCTCCATGGTGCTGCCATTCTGCTCCGCTTCTCTTCCAGTTGGGATTGGTTCATTAACCTCTCTGCTGCAGACTACCCTCTCGTCACCCAAGATGGTCTGTGTGTCTAGTATCCCCGAAAGAGTTCCCATTCCCTTTATTTGATTCTTTAAGAATTTTCTTTTAATTTTTCTGCGTTTCAACCGCTAATCTGATCTGGGTTTTTTATGGGTTTTGCAGATCTACTCCACATATTGTCGTTCTTGCCAAAAGATCTAAATTTTGTAAATCATACCAGTCGCATTGGGTGGAGAGAGTAAGAGAGTTGATGCTCTATTTGTTAATTCAAATTTTGTTATTGAATTTTTTTGATTGAGATTTACAGGAATGTAGATGGATGAGCTTCTTTGTCCTAACATGAAGATTTTAAATATGCTTGATGTTACAGATCTCGGAGAATGAAACCCATTATTGTTGATCCTGGTCTTTATCTTTCCGCTAAGAGCGACATATTTTACGTTACACAGAAGCGGGAGTTGCCGCAAGCTTATAGATTGTTCACAGGTTAGTATTTGTGTATTCTTTTTAGTGCATTAGAATGATAAAGGTGATTATTTGTGTTCCATGTACAAGGTTTTTAGATGTCAAATTCATACTTATTGTTACAACCAGAGTTCATCATCATCATCCATGCCTTATCCCAACTATATGGGGTCGGCTACATGAATCCTGTTTCGTCAATCTGTTCTATTTAAAGCCATACCCCTGTTAAAGTGTCAGACTTGTTCACCTAAAATCATGAAGTATCAAGAAGTTTTCCAAGGCTAAAATTTTAGTGCTCACGTCAAGAAGAAATAGCTGTGAATTTATCACGATGAAATAGTTCAAGTATTTCAATTATTACAGTATGCATACATTCCTTCAGTAATTCTGCTTTCCGAATTCCCACCAACTAGAGTGACTAGATTTCTTTTTTTTTACCCCATTTTAAATCCCTATAAAACATATATGTACTTAATACAATTGAGTTTACCATTTTTTTTATCAATAAAGAGAAATTTTATTAAATTCAAACTCAGGTATTACAGCAAGGTGGAAAAATCTCCATCAAGAAATAGATTTAAAGTTTTGCCCAAAACATTTGTTGTCTAACAGTCCCTTGTTTAGCCAAAGAGTCCACCATTGTGACTAGATTTCTGATTCGGCTAAAGTTCATTGGCAATGCTTTTGGCAGTTGTTAGTCACTTAAATGAAAAAGGTTAAGCATTAGATGGCCTATACTTCTAGTTTCTGTACTTGGTAGTAGCATGAAAACAGATACTAGATTCTATGCAGCATATTGGTGGTTTGAGTCCTCAATGATGGTAGTATCATATCTAGTTATGTAATTTGTGGAAATTCCTCAGTTTTCTACTGAATTAAAAGTTAACAGTTACAACATGGGATTTGGGTCTTCTGAGGGGCCTTAGAGATTTTGAGATGCCCTCAGTTTTGGAGCTCCTTTCACTTCTTGAGGGTGGTTTTTCTTCATCCTTCCTCTGACTGCTGGATTTGTTCCCCCTTACCTTCTGGGCTCTTTTCTTGTGATTCCTATAAAGGTCTCTGCTTGAGGGGTTTTTTCGATGTAATGTTGATAATAGCTAGAGTAGAGGTACTAATGATTAGTGAGTGATGAAGTATTAGAACTGGGGATAATGGTTATTGGTTATGTCTATGCCAAGATACCTATGGATATTTGAAATAGTAGTCTTGCTATCTTATACTCCTATACAAGGAAGAAAAGATTCATGAGCTCAAGGGTTGCTAAATTGGGCACTAGAAGATTGCCAAACTGGGATGCCAGAAAATCCAAGGAGGGAAAGAAACATGTGATGATTGGATAGATAATTGTCAGATCTACAATGGTCCATCCATAGATTTTGAGATGCCCTCAGTTTTGGAACTCCTTTCACTCCTTGAGGGTGGTTTTTCTTCATTCTTCCTCCTTTGACTGCTGGGTTTGTTCCTCCTTACCTTCAGGGCTCTTTTCTTGTGACTCCTATAAAGGTCTCTGCTTGAAGGGGTTTTTTGGTGTAATGTTAATAATAGCTAGAGTAGAGGTACTAATGATTGGTGAATGATAAAGAATTAGAACTGGGGGTAATGGTTATTGGTTATGTCTATGCCAAGATACCTATGGATATTTAAAATAGTAGTCTTGCTATCTTATACTCCTATACAAGGAAGAAAAGATTCACGAGCTCAAGGGTTGCTAAATTGGGCACTAGAAGATTGCCAAACTGGGATGCCAGAAAATCCAAGGAGGGAAAGAAACATGTGATGACTGGATAGATAATTGTCAGATCTACAATGGTCTATCCATAGATTCCTTCAGAACATGGTGCAAAAATATTCCTTTCAAGAAGAAGTGGTTCGTAAATGATACACTGTTGGTTGTTTGGATGAATAACATTATGTTATATTCTTGATGGGACATGGAAGAGATCAAGGGTTAGTCTTTCCCCCCTCTATTTTCTTTGCATTTCAATAAGTAGGATTAGGGTGGTGACCTGGACTGCAACTTTAATCTGGTGATAGAGTGAGGAAAGGCAGATCGTTAATGAGTCTGATTAGAGTAAAAAGGGACAGTTCATTGATAAAAGCTGCTGCTTTAAAGTGTTTGGTGAGAATTGTGGTTTGTAATTCAATATCGATGAACATTTTGCCATGTAGAGTTGGAGACATTTTGCTAAGATATTTGGAAAATCTAAAAATTCAAAAAAGTTTTATAGAAACATGGAATTAGTTAATAAACCTTCAAGAGATCATTAGAAGAAATATAATTGCACCATGTAAGGCTCAAAACCATAGCAAAGAACTATATAAATCAAATAGGAAAATTTAAGAGATTGTAATAGGTACATTTCTCTTTGTCTCCCTTTTGGTCTTTGGCCATCTTCTCTTCTTTATATATGTCATTATTTGCCATTTTAACTTTTGTCTTTATTGTTACTATATGTTTTGATTAGATTGAAAATGCTCCTTTGAAGTCATATGCAATTTTATTTCTTTTGAAAATTATAGTGACTTGGTAAGTGAATCATATCAAAGTATGTTGGTGTGAAAATTTTAATAAATTCTCATGCAACATAATTCACTCAATCAAGTGATTGAGTTTTTATTATTTTGGGTAAGGCCCATTCAGGGAATCATACAGATTATTCCCTTTAATTACATCTCCACAAGAAAGTAGAGAACACCTTTTGATTCTTACTTGGAGAAATGAATGCATAGAACAAAAGAAAAGAACAATAGGGTACTTAAAAAAGAACTTTTCATTTTTGTTTCTTTTACATCAAGTGTACAAGAATGAGAAGAAAGAAAAAGAAAATACAATTGAGAAAACTACACAACAATACATTTCTCTCTTTTCCTTTTGATACAAAGAAAATTTCCTTCTCACTCCTTTATTCACAATAAGTTGTAGTCAATCAGATGAAGTTCTGACTGTAGACAACCTTAATCCTTGGATTTTTGCATACAAAATGGGAACCGTAATCCATGGTTTTCAAAACTGGACCGGACCAGTCTGTCAGACAGAAAAAACCGGGAACCGGTCACCTGACCAGTTCCATTTTCCCCCAAAACCGGATTTTCTTCAAAAGCCGTTGATTTTGGTCAGCAAACTGCTGAACTGGGCAGTTAACCGTTCAAACCGTTTTTTATTTTTTTGTCAGAATGGGCCGAGTGTTCGGTTCAAACAGTTGGACCGTTCGACCCAGTAACCGGACCCCTAACTGGTTCGGTCTCCGGGTCAGTTTTAAAAACCATGCCATAATCAATCAAACTGAATATTTGATTGTAGACAATTTTTATCCCTTTGTTCTTCATTTTCATTTGAAGGGAACCATAATCAGCCCTTGAGAATTAGACTATAGATGGTTTAATCCCTAACTTTGTCTTGAAAGAGGGACCATAATCAACCAAGTAGAGGCACCTGGTTGTAGATGGTTTATTTCCCTCTATTTCCTTTCTCAAAAGTGTAAATAAAAGAGAGAGAGAGAGAATGATATATAGCAGAAGACATATATAATAAGTATTCATGAAGAGGACTTTCCTTTTCCTACCTGTATTATTGAGACTTCTTTTCCTTCCTTGCCTTCCCATGAAAACTTCTCTTTTCTACTTTCTTTATCTTTGATTTTCTTAAGAATCTCTTGAGATAATTTTCCCTAAAGAGTTTGCCCGTCAGTGCCTCTAGCTTCCCCTTAAGGAGCTTAAATAGGGAGTGGGTACCTCCACCTAGGTGAAGGACACTTGCCCCTTCCACTTAAAGAGAGGGAATTCCCATACAGGATACTTTTTTATAGTTTTGATGATTTGGCTAGCAGACTAGCCAACCCATTTATTTGGGTTATTAAATTATTAATGTTATTTGGATTAAAAAAATGCCTTCAACAAAGTAGTAAGTCAATTATCCATTCACCAATTCCTTGTCGGGTCTTTTGGGAAAATAGTTTTAAAAAATGATAATTTTAATGAAATATTGAAAAGTTTATAATAATGTTCTAAAATTTTAAATGTTAAATAAATATATAGTCTATCAATGAAATTGCATTGATGGGAGCCTTATGAGCTGGGCTGCCTTAGTCTATCAATGAAATCTGAAATATCGCTGACATATCAGAAAAATACCAGGGGTATTTGAAAAAAAAAATGATTCTTGGAAGATTTCGTATCGCCACCTAGCAAATGGGGGTAGTTTGGGGATATGTCACCAAATATCGTCAATATTGCGAACCGAGATATGTGACTAGTTTGTAGCTAATCTAGGGTTTTTTTTTTCCATTTGTTAGTTGGAGAGGAGAACATTACCTTTTTATCCATTTCATTTTGAAAGAAAAGAGTACCACAAAAAAGCAGGAGAGTTGAAAGGAGTTTGGAATGGAAGAGACATTTGTGATGCCTAACTAAGAGATAGAAACCATCACATGACAGTTATATTTTAGAAGAGTAATGGTATTTGCTTGGAAAGCTCAATTGGAATGATTGTTGCTTATTAATCCTTTCCAAAATCCCATCTATAGGTGTTAAACTAAAAAATAACAGAATATTTAACATTGCATAGTTAAGTCTGATATTTCGGTTGACCTATGTGACTGACCAGTTATTAATCATTTAATGTAAGTTACATATTAATGTTTAACACATGTTGCTTTAAGGCTGTGAAACATTCATTTTAGTCAGTTGTGTTTTCAAAAAGCATTTGAATGATGGGGGGGGAGGGGACTATGTGGATGGCATTTCAGAAACAAAAGCTTTGGGAACCTGAGTCATGGCCGGGAGATTCTTTTTATTTAATGATAAAAAGAATGTAATCTCTCTCTCTCTCTCTCTCTCTCTCTCTCCCTCTTTGTTCAAAGTAGGGATGCAATCAATGCCTTTGCTACAACTTAGGTACTAAGGATACAAACTTTTTAAATTTGTTATCTGTATTAACACTTTAGCAAGCATATGTTTTTTCATCATTTTCTTCTAATTTACTTTGTGAACATTGTTTTTGAAGGCTGGAGGTGTGACTGGGA